TGATCATTATTCTTTTCCCCTCGGATCCTCTTCCATCTTCCTACCTACCCACCGCCTGCCTCTCGAACCAATGAGTTGATTTGTGTTGGCTGACTTCTGCTGAGCGTGGGCCCTGCCCTTGGAGTGTGGTTGATAGCAGGCAGATATTCGTCAAAGAAACTGACTTTCCCTCTCCCAGCACCAACCAAATGTCAATAGCTCCTTGGCTAGGGGTGGAGCTCCATGTCCAGTTCCCTTCCTCCAGGCTGTCAGGGCTGAACTTGTGCGTGCTGTCAGGGCTGAACTTGTGCGTGCTGTCAGGGTCACTGGGAATCCACATGTGTATCATCCCTTTATGTCCAGAAAAAGTTGTTTCCTTGAAGTCATTCATTCTTCTCTGGCTCTTAAAATCTCCCCACCCTCTTCCTCATAGATTCCTGAGCCTTGAGGGGAGGAAAGTGATATAGACATCCCATTTAGGGCTATGAATTTTGTCTTCATGCCTGCAGAGCAAGCACATAACCAAATAAGCTATCACCCCAGCCCCAAGAAGCAAAATACTAACAAATTGTGTAGTGGTTCTTCCTCTCCGAGACAGTGCTGAGGACTGCTTCGGGGTCATCCGTCCTCCCTCCCTTCCTCCCCCCTCCCTGTCTCCTCTCCCTCCCTTCCTTTAACCTTTTATTTGAAAATAGTTTTTCTCACATATTATATCCCAATTATGTATGTTTTCTCTTCCCTCTTCTCCCCGTTCCTCTCCACCTCCCTTCCCATCTGGATCCAGTCGCTTTCTGTCTCTCATTGGAAAACAAATAGACTTCTAAGCGACAATAATAAAATATAATGTAGGTATATTCCCAAGAGTAGTATAGCTGGATCTTGAGGTAGATCACTTCCCATCTTCCTGAGGAACTGCCACACTGGTTTCCATAGTAGCTGCACACATTTGCAGGTCCCTCAAGGCCATACTTCCTAACTCTCTCCAAACAATTCCACCTACTGGAGAGCGAGTATTGGAATATAAGAGCCTCTAAGGGCCTTCTCATTCAAACCACCATTCTGTTCATAGAGAGATATGAAGCAGACTGTCTCTGTGGTCTGTAACCTTCAGTTTTGATATGTGCTGCCAGGTTGATGAAGGTGGCTTCTAGCCAGAGCCTCACCATGGAGCAGCTCGGCTTCATGCAGGCGTGCTTATTCACAAATCACAACATTTGGCCCTTTGGTACTGGTCTGTTTCTGTGGGGGAAAACCTGCAGGGCAGTGACTGGTGTGGTTGTGGTCAGTCTCTGGGCCCTGCCTCTGTGTCCTGTGGGATCTCAGGCAAGGTATACCACTCTCTGACCCCAGTGTTCACACCTGTAGGTCAAAGGGCTGTAAGTTAACTCTCTGCAGATCCACACTTCTGGGTTAATTGATCTGGAGCAAGACTGGGGTGGGTGTGGCTCTTTATTGCTGCTGTACAACGGGGATGGGGGTGGGGGCTGGGATTGTTACACCAACATCACCAGTAAGCCAGATCAGACAGAATTAAAAAAGTAAAAGAACAGGTTTATTTAAGTAAAGCGACTCCCAGGTGAGTTCTCCAGTCCCAGAGATGGAAGCAGTAGAAGTCACACGCTCAAACTGAAGCAGGAAGATTGTGCACCCTGTAGGAGAGGGATGATGGTGTGTCCTCTACAAGCTGGGCTTGTGTTCAAATGTGGTCAAAAGCTGACTGGCTGCTGACAACTTCAGGGGAGGGGCTGCTGCAGCCGCAGGAGTGCAGAACTGGACTTTTCTTTCTTGGAGATTCTCTGAGAGGGTGGGGTTTGGTGGGAAGAGTGGGGCTTTCTGAATCAAGCAGGAGTGAGCTGGAGGGCCCAGCTGGACAGTTTTCTCCTTCCCTGTGTGGGTCCCAGTAGCTTATGCTGCTAGACTTGGTGGCAAGTGCCTTTGCCCTCTGAGTCATCTCAGCTCAAGAAGTTGTGTTTTGTTTTGTTTTCTCCCAAAAATTTGGGAACTGGTGCCGGGATGGTGACTTTTCCAAGTCACTGAACTAATCACTTGCTAACCATACTTGACTCTGGAAAGGGAGCAGGAACAACAGCTTGTCCTGAGTCTCATCTGGGCATGGTGGCTCAGGCCTGCAATCCCAGCACTTGAGAGATGAAAGCAAGAGAGTTTAAGGATAGCCTGGGCTATAATGCCTACCATGAGGCTATGTGAGACTTTGTCTCAAAGATGAAATCGATCTTTTCCTGAGGACAGCTGCCATCGTTGGGAGCATATGTATTTCTGTAGTCAGGGCGGCCAGCAGGTAGGCTTCTAGAGCCCCAGGAGATGGGCTGCTCCCACCTATTAGTCCCTCATGGGTTGTAAGAGCTCTGCCTGCACTGCCTGCCCACCCACTGAGTGCTTCCCATTTTGCCTCAAAAGGAGTCTTGTTGAATATGGTTTCCATCAGGCCAAGCAGGTTGTGGCTACCCTGTGGCGGGGAACCAGCAGGCTCCCTCCACTATCCCCTACCAAGCAGGGAATGACCTTCTCCTGCTGGGTCTCATTCCTCCCTTTGTTCTTTCGTCTTCCAGAAGATTTTATGCTTCTGATGACATACAGCAGAATTCTTTATAAACCCTTGAGGATTTTGAACTATTAGCAGTTTATTACAGAAAGTACTATGCACAGTGTTTTGTAATGTTTAAGAGGCCAGGGGGATCCTTTCCCTTCCCTTCTGTTACACACACACACACACACACACACACACACACACACACACACACACACACATATACACACGCCCCACAGAGACACTTACATACAAATACACACATATATACAAATATGCAATACACACATCTACACATGTATACACACAGAGATACATACATATACAATATGCACACTCCACACACATGCATACTTTATACACACACATAGACATAGACATACACATCCCATAACATATATGTACACGCAACAAAATGGTGTAGCTAGGTTTTGAAATGACAGATAGCACTTTACCACCAGTATAATTTAGTGGTTCTGATCTTTTACGTCTATTTTGCATCACACACTGCTGTGTTTGCCATTTACAAATTAGATAGAAATAACGCCACATGGAACTGCCTGTTTCCTTTGGGTATCAGAGTCTCCTGGATACACTTGATAAGATCCAGGTTTCACAGACCTCACCCTAGAGTTGTGAGGTTGAAATCACTTGGGGAGGGCTCCAGGGAGCAAGATCACTGGGTGATTTTCCTGGTGCTTTGAAGGGTAGACAAAATTCAGACAAGAAAAGATCGAGAGAAGAAAGAAGAGCAGAGCATGTGGTGGGCACCGCCCTGTCTGGATTGAAATCTAGGCTCCTCCCAAGCTCCATGTCACCTCTGTGCCTCAGTTGGTCCATCCATGAAATAATCAGTCTATGAGACTCTGACATTTACCTCTTAGTGACTGAGGATTAAATGAGTGACATGTGAAATATATTTGAAGAGGGCCTGGCCAACGGCTCTGGATGTGTTAGCTGTGACATTGTCCCATGCCAGATGAAGGACATGCACAAGGACTGACTTTACGAGAGAGGGAAGCACACTTAGTGGTCCAAAGCTGAAGGCTCGGCAAGTGGTTTGTAAGAAATTAACCTGGGAGGTTTTTGCTTTGTTTAAAGAAAAGAAAAGAAACATTATCATTCTCACGATGATTCTAATCTGCAGTGAGGCCTGAAGATCTGCATTAGATTAGTCTTAAATTTTTATCACGTGTGTATGCGTGTGCACATGTGCAGGTATGTGCATGGGTATGTGGAGGCCAGAGGTAATGTCTGATGGCCTCCTCTGTTGCTCTCCACCTTATCTTTTTAAGCATTTTTTATGTGTGATAATTTAACTGCAGCATCTCTCCCTTTCCTTTCCTCCCTCCGAACTCTCCCATACACTCTTCCCCACTCTCCTCCAAATTAAGGACCTCTTTTTATCACAAACTGTTACTGCATGCATATATACATACATATTGGTAAATATAACCTATAAAGTCCATATAATGTTACTTGTATGTATATTTCAGGTGTGCTGCCTGGGGAAGACCGCCTCTCTCACTCCCAGCTTTCTCGGTTGCCTTAAGTCCTTTGGGTAGGGTTGAGACTCACGGGCTTTCCCTGTCCCGTCTGGCATGTTCATTGGTGACATCCTTCTTCAGCTCACATTTGGGTAATCATGTTGGTGAGACTTGACAGGTGTAGCCTCTGACGTTACTAGGAGACACAATCTTCCAGCATATCTCTGACCCTTTTACAGCTTTTCTACCGCCTCCTCTGCCATGTCCCCTGAGCCTTATCTATGCGTTTCTTTAGATACAGCCTTGCACTGAACCTGGGCCTGGCCAGTTTGGCCAGACTGGCTGGTCAGTGAGCCCCAGAGAGCCTCTGTTCCCTGCCTCTCCAGTGCCAGGGTTATGGGTGTGAGCCTCTGCTCTCTGCCTCTCCAGTGTTCGGGTTATTTGTGTGAGCCTCTGTTCTCGGTTTCTTCTTTTTAAACGTGGATTCTGAGGAATCCCAAGGGCGAATTCTTGTAATTGATCTTATCACTGAACCATCTCCTCACCCATTAAATTCATATATTTTTTTTTGCTTATGTGTTTATTCATGTAGTACTTGTTTATCTAAGACTAGGGTGCTACAGGCTAAAGTAACAACTGCGCCCACTGAGCTACACTCCTGGCCCTAAAAGATTTAATAAAGATGACTAGAAAATTTCCAGAAGTCCTGGTTTCATTGGAGGAGGCCTGTTATTCAGAATTGAAAGGTATACTAAGATTACAAAAGTGGGGCTGGAGAGATGGCTCAGTGGTAAAGAGCACTGACTGCTCTTCCAGAGGACCCGGGTTCAATTCCCTGCACCCACATGGCAGCTCACAACTGTCTGTAACTACATTTCCAGGGGATATGACACCCATGACAAAACAACAATGCACATAAAATTAGAAAAAAAAAACAATTAAAAAAGCGTGGACGTTAACTGCATATTTTATATCTGCTTTATTAGGCGTGTCCGGAAAGTGGTAGAAGTATCCGGGAGGTCCAGTGTGCATCCTACAACAACAAGCCATTCATGGGCCGGTTTTATGAATGGGAACCATTTGCAGAAGGTAAGGCAACTGGGTTTGTTCCCCTGACTCAGCTGTGTTACTATGAATTATTATTATTATTATTATTAATTATTATTATTATATGTCATTATCATCACTTTGTTCTCCCGACCCTGCTGGTTTTCCGTTGGGCCTGGATGTGTTGAGGTGATCCTGGCTGGAGAAAATGTGACACATAGAGCAGAATGGACTACAGAGGTGTTCAGCAGTTGTCCCATAGCCCAGAAAGTGCTTGGACTGTCCTTGACTGTGAGGTGTGGCTGAGGACAACAGCTGAGAGTGGCAGAAGTGGGCTGGAGCAGGGGGTGTAGAATGCTTGTCAGTAAAGCATGAGCAAGCTGAGAGCCAAGAGGTTTTAGTTTTTTATTTTTAACTTATTTTTTAGGATTTATTTTTATTTTATGTACAGTGGCATCTCACCTGCATGTATGCTTGTGTAAGGATGCTGGATCCCCTGGAACTGGAGTTACAGGAGTTGTGAGTTGTCATGTGGATGCTAGGAATTGAACCCAGGGTCCTCTGAAAGAGCAACCAGTGCTCTTAACCTCCAGCCCTGTTTTGTTGTTGTTGTTTGTTTGTTTGTTTTTAACTTTGATATCTGTCAGAAGGGCTGATATGTGTGCTTAAGAAAGCAAGCAGATTGATAAATGTTCCCACATCAGGAAACTTCTCACGTCCCTTCCAAACATAGAAGCACACCATGGCTCCTTCCATGGCCCAGTGACGGTCAGAAGTTGGCAGAGCTTCTCAGTACTGTTCCACACACTAGAGTCATTTTCTCATTGTCAAAATTTACATGATAGCACGGAGTGTGAACTAAGCTATGTTTGGTTCTGAGTTGTTTCCTACAACGTAGTCTTAGCATTGGTCCAGGACAGCTTACGGGGATTCTACACTGGCAGCCCCATTGGCTGAAGATCTCTGCCTGGATGTTAGTTTTTGGCTTCAGCCCAAGGCAGCAGGTGGAGTTGCTGGTGTGCCCCAAAACCAAAGTCCAAAGCATTGCTATGATGTCAAGGATCTTGAGAATGTCGGGGGAAGGCTTGATGGTAAGATGTGCTGAGGTTCATGAGGAATCTACTCCCTCGGGGGCCAAGCCAATATCACCTGAGAGATACTAAGGTGCCGGTCCTGTCCCTTGGTAAGAGGTGAAGTAGATGGAACACTAACAGCTCTGAGACTGAGGACAAAGTCTCTCCTGTTTCCAGAGGAAAGTCTGTGAGCTGTTATGTTCTCAGGCGGCCCTGTGACCTCAAGCTTGTTAAGAACAAACTTGGCTTTCAGTGAGGGACCCTGTCTGGAAAGGCTAATAGCTGAGAGAGGATGTGAGGTCCTGGGCAGCAAAGGAGGGAAGATTGAAGTTGGGTGGGGAGCAAGGGAAGAAGAGCCCAGGGCCCCGGTGGAGCAGGGGAAGGAAGAATCTAAAATCCTTGGGGAGTAAGGGAAGTTTGATCTTTTCCTTTCTTAAAATGCTATGTTGAATTCAATATAGAATTATAACTTGGATCCTGAATGAGAAGGACATTGGTGGAAAACGTGGTGAAACAGCAGCACATGCGTTCAGACGGGAGCTGGTGGGCTTATGACCCTAATGGATGGTGTTCTCAGCAGAAGAGAAAGTTCTCCTGCATCACATAGTGTCCAGCAATCGTGATGCCGTCACTTGGCTTGCGGGCACATCAGTGTCTCTGTCTTCATCATAACTTGTTGTCTTTCTATATGTCCATGAACTTTCTCAGACCATAAACTGTAAGATGAAATGAATCCTTTCCTTCCCACTTGCTTTTGGTCATGGTGGGTTCTTTTGTTAGTTGATTGTTGTTTTGTTTTGTTTTTAAGGCAGGATTTCTCTGTAAAGGCCTGGATGTCTTGAAATTCACTTTGTAGACCAGGCTATGTCAAACTCAGAGATTTGCCTGCCTTTGCCTCCCTAGTTCTGAGATCAGAGTTGTGGCGCCAGCAGTTAGCTGGATCACAGCAATAGAAACCCAAATAAGACTGTGACCTTGTCAGTAATCTTTCTAGCTGTAATGAGGACGCTGGTTAAGGTGAGTTCATAGTGAAGATGGGTAAATCCGTGTGTGATATGACTCCGGTTCTCAGACGTCAGCTGAGTATGACAAGAACCCAGCATAAAGACATAGACAGCCATGACAGGCAGACAGGAAGTGAAGCAAGGAACACCATGGATTGCCAGTAACTGCCAGAAATAAGAGACATGGACATGCATGCCCTCCTCTCCGACACTTTAGAGAGAACATACTCATTCCTTGACTCCTTGATGTGGTTCCTGGCTACCACATCTGTGAGTCTGTTCCTATTGCTAATAGTGTGTGTGGCATGTTATATCAGTGCTAGGAAACTCACAGTCTCGATGATTTTCAATGTTAGGAAAACCGCAGTGTTGTCCTTTCTGATCATATTTCCATCCCTGAACCCTGTTTGAGGCAGGGATTCCTTGGGCTAGTACCCACATCTCATGAAACAGAGGTGGTCAAGTGGGGCTTGGGCTGACCTTAAAATATTCTTCCACAAAAGTCAGTGAGCGGTTTGGGGAAATGGCCGTGGAAGTGCTTACCATGCAAGCCTGGGGGCCTGTGTCCAATTCTCAGCACCCAGTTAAAAGTCAGGCATGGTGCATACTTGAAATGCCAGTGTTGGGAGATGAATACAGACTCGAGGACTCACTGGCCAGACAGCCTAGCAAAGGTCCTCAAGGTAGGTGGTCCCCAAGGTTGACTATGGTCTCCGTGTGCGCAGCCATATGTGTTTCTCAGACCACTGAACATGCACGCATGCGCACATACAAAGAGAGAGAGAGAGAGAGAGAGAGAGAGAGAGAGAGAGAGAGAGAGAGAGAGAAAGAAAACTGTACTTATCTTGACTACAAGCCACATCCAAAAGAGTCCAGGGTTTAGCAGCTATCTCCTAAACTTTGTTAACTAGACAATTCAGCCGTCTTTTATAATATTTACGTTAACAATGGTGTTTCTCACAGACCTACAGGGAGACAAATGATTGCAGGAGGCGCATTTAGTTCAGCTTTGTTTAAATAATTTTTATTCTTCTTACTCAGTTTGTTTTTTTTCCCTACTAAGACTCTCTCCTTAACTTCATCCTTCTCCCTCTCAAATGACTCCCAGGCTGAGCAGTGGGAGGGGGACGAAGCTAGTGTTTCTGTGTTGTGTTCAGGCTTGCCGGCTGGGTTTTGCATTGGGCCCTGGGCTATGTTTGTATGTCTCCTGCCATTCGCTGGAGCCTACTCAGGAACACAGCTGCTCTCATTCAGCCCAATGCCACATTGAATAGTAAAAGCAGAGAGCAGGCTCTGATAAACACATTCGTTTCACCAGATGGTTCTTCGTGGGACTTGAGTCGCATTTCCTGGCTTTGATGACCTCGGCTCAGATAATGCCTCTAGGAATTTTTCTCACAGTTCTGGACCTGAAGCTTGTAACAGGCTGGAAGGAGAATCAGCGCGCCCCGTGTCTGGTTTGGGGCCGTCACCTCAGCTCTCTTTTACTCTCATATTTGGCTTGGATAATACGTTATGTGGTCACAACACCTCGAATGGAACAGTTTAACAAGAAGACTTGGACATTGGGGCAAATTATATGGTACTCCGTCTCCTGTTACTCATGATGAGATGCATCCTGGGTCCCCTGGAGGCGCTGAAACATTGGGTAGTACTAAGTCATCGCGCTACTCAGAATGGTGCACAAGCTAACATTCAAGAATTGCTCACGTTTAGTATTTTCCACTTAATAATCTTTTAGTTAGTATTGACCCTAGATATTGAAGCTGGGCTGTAAAACCAGACACCAGTGAAACCAGAAAAGGAGACACCACTGTGTCTCTTTTCATCAAGGCCACTGGGGCAGCTGACATTCTGATGTCAAATTCTGTTAAGTTGCTGTAGTCTAGACAGCAGATACCACCCTTCTTTGTGTGCTGATTCATTCCATAGTGCTAGGAAAGGAACCCAGGGGCCTGCATGGGCCCGAAGCACTCTACCACTGAGCCACATGCCCAGCCCAGATGACAGTGTTAATTCATAGCCACGGGGGCAGACTTGTGTTCAGGAGTCTTCAGGATGCTGTGTTCCTGAGAGATGAGCTAAAGAGAGTGGACTTCTGAAAGCCCAGGGTGACGCTTAGTCAGGAATGGCAGCTTCTCTGCTGGAGACATGTGACAGGAGCAAGGCGATGGATTACATTTGGTCGGGAGTGGCTAGCGTGTGCTGTAGTGACATCCCCTGTCCTAATGACTTAACTGAAAGTTTCTCTTGCTCAGACTACATAGTCGTGCAACATGTGTCCTCCTCACTGGGAGTCCCCAGCTGGTAAAAAGCTGCTTCTCAATTCAGACTTTTCCTGAGATAGGGCAAGGAGACACATGATGCATGCACAGATTTTTTTTTGGTGGGGGGCGGGGGGGGAGTCGAGACAGGATTTCAACATGTACCTTGGCTGTCCTGGAACTAGCTCTGTAGATCAGGCTGGCCTCAAACTCACAGAGATCTGCCTGCCTCTGCCTCCCGAGTGCTGGGATTTAAGGCGTATTCTGTTGCCACTGTCCGGCTTCCTTCGCAGACTTTCAAAGCTTCTGCCAACAGTGGTCCACACTGTTTGCGCTCGCATCCCAATAGCCGACGCAAGTCACACGCCAGTCTTCACTTCAAAGGAAGCAGGTTGCCATCATCCTACTATATATTAAGAATTAGGAAAAATAAACTCTTAGTGATAAGCCCTAAGGACCAGGACAGGTACAAAACCCCATTGAATTACTTTCTTATAGGTCCCAGTGACTTTTTTTTTAAGGCTGCTCCCAAGATTAGAAGGTTTTGTTCCAGGGAGTACTACTAGTAATTCTGGTCTGTAATATCCACAGCGTGCCCGGGAACTATAAAGTTCTTCCCATTGATTAGGTCTCTGTGGTAGCAGATATTTATGGTATCTGGCATCAGAATGTTAGTGCCAGATGCCCAGGGTGCCAATTCC